CACACACACACACACACTCACACACACACACTCGCTCTGAAACAGGCTGTGTGTTATTTCTCAGAGGAGGTTTGTGTGTGTGTGTGTGTGTGTGTGTTTGGTGTAGTGCTGACACAAACAGGTGTGTTTCCTGTTCATATCCGTGAGGGGCCTGCAGACGGGGCCACAGAGGCCCTTACAGAGCCCGTCATCTGAGGGACATTATTAGTGCAGGGCGATGCTGAAACCGATTACAAGCACACTATACACACTACTGGTCTCTTCTGCTCAGCAGTTTCTGATTTCTGAAGATCACGTGACACTGAAGACTGGAGTAATGATGCTGAAAATTCAGCTTTGATCACAGAAATAAATTACATTCTAACAGATATTCACATAGAAAACAGCTGTTTTAAATTATAATAATATTTCACAATTTTTACTATATTTTTGATCAAATATATGCAGCCTTGGTGAGCAGAAAAGACTCAGAAACATAAAGAAAAGTCTTAATTATTCCAAACTTTTGAGCCGTAGTGTGTTATTCTGAATATGCCAAGTTTAAGTCTCTGCCACCTTCTCCACAGACACTAATGATCTAGAACCGGACGTGGAGGCAAATCTAGAACCCGAGGAGACGGATGCAGAAGCCAGAGAAGAACAGGAAGAGGAAGTGGAGGAGATACGTGCTGAACAGGAAGTGGGCGGAGCTGAGGAGCGGGTGGAAGAGGAAGAGGAGGGGTCTGAACGGGAAGCGCCGGATGGAGAAGCGGAGGACAGTGGCATCTTGAGTGATAAAGAACGACAGAACGAAGAAGTGAACGAGAAGGACAACTGCTCCGCCTCCAGTATATCCTCAGCCAGCAGCACACTGGAAAGAGAAGATGGACTCAATGCAGGCAGCGCAGAGACAGGTGAGAGTAATGATTACTAAATCAAACAATATGGAGAATTATTATTATACTGAAAATATTATATGTTTATAATGTTATGGAAATGTGTCCTTGAATAAAACTATAAAAAATAAATAATTATAGCTTCAACTATAAATAAATGTGTGTGTGCAATAATAATATATTTGAAAATGCTAAACTAAAAATTGCTGAAAGTAAAACTGGAATAAAATGTCAAATTAATCTGAAAAATATTAAAGTAAAATTAAAATAATAAATATTATGAAATATAATATAATACATAATATACTGTACATTCATACACACAGACACATATGTAATTCTATATGTTAATTTGTTATATTAATTGTTATATTATATAATATTATATTTTAATTAGTAGGGCTGTCAAAATTAACGCGTTAACGCAAATTCATTTTAACGGCACTAATTATATTAACGCGCGATTAACGCAGCGCACATTTTCTGTTTAACCCGTGGCCTAACCCGTAGTTGGAGAAATGGAGATGCATGATGTTGCAAACTTAGCAACTTTTTTCGCTAGATTTAGTAACTTTTCTATGGAAGCCCGTTTCCGCCACTGAATAAAAAATAAAAAAAAAGGTAATTGCGACTTTTTATCTCACAATTCTGACTTTTTTTCACAGAATTGTGAGATATAAACTCACAATTGCGAGTGATAAAGTCAGAATTGCGAGATATAAAATCACAATTGCGTGATATAAACTCACAATTCTGAATTTTTCTCAGAATTGCGTGATATAAACACAATTGCGAGTGATGAAGTCAGAATTGCGAGATATAAAGTCACAATTGCGTGATATAAACTCACAATTCTGACTTTTTTTTCTCAGAATTGCGTGATATAAACACAATTGCGAGATAAAAACTCGCAATTCGGACTTTTTTTCTCACAATTCTGACTTTTTTTCTCGGAATTGCAGAATTCTGACTTTATAACACGCAAATGCAATTTATAAACTCGCAATTCTGAGAAAAAAAGTCAATTGTGAGTTTATATCTCGCAGTTCTCACTTTATTTCTCAAAATTGTGACTTAATGTCTCGCAATTGCGAGTTTATATCACGCAATTCTGACTTTATTTCTCAGAATAGCGAGTTTATATCTCACAATTATGACTTAACTCTGAAATTGCGAGTTTGTATCACGCAATTATGAGAAAAAAGTCAGAATTGTGAGATAAAAAGTCGCAATT